AATGTAAAAACCATTCTTAGCTCGCGGGTTGCGCAGAAATAGACAGTGGGTCTGTTGCAGACTGTTGCATTGAAGGGAAAAGAAACATGATTTTATCCAGTCTATTGTTGATGGGCATTTGGGTGTGAACACGGTATGCAGTTCTCACACGGGGTTGTTTTGGTTATGCTTCTGTGCAAACTCCTGTTTCTTTGCCCGTCCCTGGGACAAGGCTTCTGGAGTCATCCCCCAGGCACTACCTCCTGGACCATTCCCAGCCCGGATGTGAGAAGGGTGGGCTCTTGAATGGGGAAACTGTGGCAGGGAAGGGGGGAGCAGAGCTTCCTACCCCTGGGCCCCTAGAGTCTGCCCTGGGGGCTTCCTCTTGGCCCCGGATGTGGGATGGGAGGGCAGGGGGCCGGGGGGGGGGGGGGGGGGGGCGGGGGGCCAAAACACCCAGCCAAGACAGGAAGCTCCACGTCCAGAAGCCTTAAAGAGGGAGATGCGGCAGAGGCATGAAATCAGTGCCTGAGATTCGACCTGCTGAGTCCATCCCGAGGGTAAGTGAACCCTGCTCCGGCTCAGCCCAGAAGTCCATCCCGAGGGGGCCAGGACAAAGCTGGGACTCCAGTCTCGTCCCCCACAGGGACCCAGGATTCCATATCCCACCCGCTCTGGACGCTTGACCCTCCCCAGATGAGAAGGAACTGACCCAGCTGTGGGTTCCCTCTTTCAGCAGCTGCAGGATGAAGGCTCTTCCCCTCCTCCTGCTCCCTGTCCTGGGGCTGCTGGTGTGTGGCAATTCTCTGTGTCCCGTGGACAAAGCCATCAATGAGAAGATCCAGGATGACGCCCCATCCTTAAGTGAGGACCCTCACTCAACCTCAGCAGGGGCCCCTCTAATTCCGGACACGGAGCAGCCATCGAGCCAGCCCCAACCAGAACCAAACCTCCACCCGGAACCCAACCCAGCCCAGCCCAGCCCCAGCCCCCATCTAGCGGCACCTACCGCAGAAGCTGGGAATATCCTCCTTCCTCTAATCACCCATTTCAAGACAGAACCTGGGAGGTGGTGGGCTCCCCACTTCATGGCTCTCTACAGGGCCTGGCCCACCTAGGCCTTCCTCAGAACAGTTTTCTTGACCCCTGCCTATCTCCAAACCACCAGGGCCAGGGCCTCAGGAGGATGGGGGAGGGGCAGCCTGGTCTCACAGCCGCCTTCCCTCCTCCCTCCCTCCCGCAGTTCTTGAGACAATGAGGAACTTTGGCCTGACCTGCCGGAGTGTCACCTCCAGGGGGGACCTCGCCACCTGTCCCGCAGGTGAGTTTCGAGTCCTTTTCCCAGCTCTCACTTCTGTTCCCCGCACGCAGGAACCCTTCCCCCTAAGTCCAGCCTCTAGTTCTTTTTCTTTTTTTAAGATTTTATTTGAGAGAGAAAGAGAGAGAGCGCGAGCGCACAAGCAGGGGGAGGGGGAGAGGGAGAAGCAGGCTCCCCGCTGAGCAAGGAGCCCCATATGGGACTCGATTCCAGGAGCCCGGGATCAGGACCTGAGCCGAAGGCAGCCACTTAACCGACTGAGCCACCCAGGCGTCCCAGGCTCTGTTTCGAGTCAACTTCCCCAGAGTCCTGGTCTGCCACGCTAGCCTCCCCGCCCCAGCACCGAGACTGCATTTCCTCAGGACACTGGCGTCCAGGGCCCCAGCCTCCCTGCGCTCCACACAACCCGGCTCCCACGCTCTGGTGTTGGAGACCCTCCCGCCTCCGCTTCCCCCCGACCCCCAGGCCCGCAGCCTCCCGCTCGGGTCCACACTCCCTCCGCTCCCGCCCGCAGGCTTCGCCGTCACCGCCTGCACTTGCGGCTCCGCCTGCGGCTCGTGGGACGTGCGCGCCGAAACCACGTGCCACTGCCAGTGCGCGGGCATGGACTGGACCGGAGCTCGCTGCTGTCGCTTGCAGACCGCCGCCTGAGGTCCCCGGGGAGAGCGGGCGGGGCTGGGGGCGTGGCCAGGCCTCGGAGGGGCGGAGTCAGGCCTCGGAGGGGCGGGGTGGAAATAAACCCTGAGAGGATGATGGTGAGGGTCTGCGCGCCCTGCTGTCGTTTGTTGGAGGGGGGGGGACTGAGCTGGTGTCTCTGAAATGAGCCGGGCACGGAGACGCTGGAGGAAGGTGGTGGCTGTGGGCGTCCGTGACTTTCTTCTGCCCATTTATCTCCTCCCACGTTGTGCCTCCCCCTACCGCGTCTCCGAGAACAAGGACTCTCCTTCCTCTAAGGACACTCACACCCAAGGATCATGGACTCCTTCAGGAGGGGAAGTGAGCGTTACCTCTGAGGCCGCGACGATCCCTCGGGTCTCTGGTCTTCCAGGAAGTCATTGGGTCAGTCTGTCCCAGCCTCCACAATGAGGCTTCATTCGGGGTCTGGGTCTGTATGAGACAGCGACCCCTGACCTCCCCCCAACCCCCTGCATACTTCAGGGCCAAAGCCCCCAGTAGCCCCAGGGTCATGGTGGACCCCTGAGTCACCTCTCAGCCCAGAGCCCTGAGCCACGATCCCTCATTCCCCAACCTCGTGGAGAGACCTGCACACACTACATATACACACACAGTACACAACCCAGTCATTATGGTCACACAGGGACACAACATGCCCGCAGACAATGCCCCTGAACCACATAAGTATGGCTATAGAAGAAGAAACATAGACCACAAACATGTAAACCCTGGACAGAGTCTTTTGCCTCTTACATCAAGTTCCCACCCCCACCTGGGTGGCTTTGGTCCCAGTCTGAATTCTGACCTGGAAGGCAAGTCACCTGCAACCCTTACACAGCTTCCTGGGTGGCACAGATCCCTGGGAACCCTAATCCAAGGGTCTTAAAATCCAGTCCCTGAGAGATGCAGACAGACCTCAGAGCACTCAGTGTGCAGTCTTGAAAGGGACCCCAGACTCAACTGCCCCAGCCCCCAGCAGCACACTCCAGGGACTGGAGCATGGGTGATGGGGTGGGATCCTGGTTTTCAAGATGTTTTAGACGCTCCTGGAGGGAGGCAGTGGCGTAGGGCGCCCGTGACTTTCTTCTGACCACCCCCTCTCTCCCTATGTTATGCCCCAACCTCTGCCACCCACCCCCTGTGATGGCATAGCCCCCTGTCTGATTCAGGTAGCCATGAGCTGAGGTCACAAACTCTCCTCTTGTCCCTGGAGCCCACCTATACCCCAATCCAGAGATTCCCCTCCTGTATCCACCCCCCTGACCCCACAGTGGCCATGGGGTTGAGGTGGGACAACTGAGTCAGAAGTGTGTTGAGTACCAGAAAGGGTCTATAACCTCGCCTGTCCCACCCCCTCACTGATGTGGAGGGGGGTGCCCTCCTTTGTCCCCAGACTGATTGGAATGCCTCTTTATCTCCAAGCTCCACTCAATTGTCCCCCTGTGTCTGGCCCCAAGGAGGTCCTCTTCAGAGCGCTCATTTCCAGCGTAGTCATTCTCCTGCCCCAGGGTGCAGACCTGGATAGGCAAGCCCCCTTCTCAAGCCTCCATTTTCTCACTTGCCAACCGCCCAGCACCCCCTGAGGTAGCCAAGATTCTTCTAGTCGCAAGTGCCTCAAACCTCACGTAAAGACAGCTTGAGCAAAAGTAAAAGGAAGTTCCTGGGGGCGCCTGGCTGGCTCAGTCGGTGGAGCATGCAACTCTTGATCTCGGGGTTGTGAGTTTGACACCCATGTTGGCTGTAGAGATTACTTAAAAATAAAATCTTTAAAAAAGAAAGAAAAAAAGAGGAAGTTTATGGATATGTAACTGAGAGGCCCAGGGTTAAAGGTTTATTTATTTATTTTAGAGCGAGAGTGCGCTGGGGAAAGGGGCAGAGGGGAGCAGAGGGAGAGGAAGAGAGCGTCTACTCTCAGTGCAGAGCCTGAAGCACAGGGGTCGATCTCACAACCCTGATATCACGGACCTTTCTGAGCCAAAACGAAGAGTCTGATGCTGGTGGTCCCAGGCAAGCCCAGAGACCCAGGGTTAGAAACGACAGATTCAGGTATGGGTGGATAGAACCCTCAAATGATATCTCCAGGATCTGACTGCCTCTCAGCTCTGCTTTCCTCAATGTCTTCTCTCCCAAGCGGGGTCTCCCCCAACACAGCTCCAGGCTTACATTTTCCCAGGCTGAGAGCCCCCTGCGGGGGGAGGGGGGGGGAATGGCCTTTTCCCTGGTTAATGCCGCAGAATTCGCAGGCCTGAGTTTCATTGGCTGAATATGGTTCCTGTGCCCACCCCTGTGCCAAATCTTTGACTCTGATTGGCTGGGCCTGGATCATGTGCCCACTCTAAACCAATCACAGGTTTATTGTTAGCTGGGCTGGAGACGCATATTCTTTTCTTAAAAGAAAATTGAGACTGTGACCCTATGACAGGACTGGTCAAGAAACCTCACAGAGCCCTCTCGGGCCACTGTGATTGCTCGTGGGCCTCCAGGTGCACAACTGCTATTTTATCCAAAGGGCTGATGGAGCCTGTTCTTAGCTTCAAGCACCTACAGAAATGGGCAAGGCTGCGGCCCCACCCCCTGCGCCTGTCCATCACAGCAGAGCCGGCTGCCCATTGGTCCGTCTCCTCTGTGACTGTTACGTCAGAAGAGGGTCTTATCTCTCAATCCTGACTTTCTAAATAATCAGAGGGAGGAGAGGGCAGAGAGAGAGACTGTCAAAGTGGTTCTCCTTGAGCCGGCAAAGTTGGCAATAGTTTAGAAAACAGAGCATTATCCTCATCAAACCCTGGGGGACCATTCCAAAGTTATCTCAAATTTAATCACATATTTAAAAGCTAAAACATACCTACTTCTCCCACATGGACAGTCCTTTTAAGGGGGACCTGGGTGGCTCGGTCAGTTAGGTGTCGGCCCTCCGTTCAGGTCGTGATCCCGGCAGTGGCTCCCCACTGAGCAGGGAGCTTGCTTCTCCTTCTTCCTCTGCCATTTCTCCCCATCCCCTCTCGCTTGTGCTCTATTTCTCTGTCAAATAAATGAATCTTTTTTTAAAGTTTAAACGGTCTTTTATTTTTTCCAGAGGGAGAGAACCATGATAGTCTAGGCCAGTGCTCTCCAATATCGCATCCATCAAATGCTTGAACTGTCCTGTGAGTTTAAATCACGTTTGATTTTTGAAGATTTAGTACCCACAAAAAATAATATAGCTCAATAATTTTTTAGTATCGCCTACATGCTGAAGTGATCACTTGTGGGGTATATTATGTTAAACAAGATACATTATTAAAATTAATTTAGCCTGTCTCTTTTTGTCTTCTTAACGTGGCTGCCAGAAAAATTTAAATTAAAGATGTGGTTTACATTACCTTTCCACCAGAAGGCACCGTTCTAAACTTAGAGAAATTCCCTGCAAACTTGGTCTCACTTTTATCTCCAGTTTTCAAGGTCACAGACACAAAGAGAGCTTTAAGACCTCTAGAGAGAGCAGACACGTGAAGGCATGAATATGGGCGTTTCTCTGGGGGTAAACCGGTGTAGAAGCCTACCAATGGGCGAGCCATGTGAATACGTGAGCAGACATATGATGGTTTCTGGGAGTGTGTATGAGTGTGGGGAAGTGAGCAGATGTGTGGATGAGAGTGAATGTTTCCAAGTGTTCCTCTGTCTGGGGGCCCCGGGAGAGGGGACACCATGTCCAGGGTTAGGTCAAGGGGTGCGTCTGGCCTCTGTCCCAGACATGGGTGGAGCTCCAGTGGCTGGTCCCCTTGCCTCACATCCGTTCCTTTCCTCCACAGGGCCTTGAAGAAGTAGAACTTCTTGGGGTGGAGCTGAGGGGTGGGACTGGGGCAGGGGGCAGGAAGATGTGGGAAACCTAGGAATCCTGCCTCCAAGTCCAGATACCCCAAACCTAAAAGGCGGGACTCCCAGGGGGGCCAGATTCTCTCTTGAGAGGGACAGGGGATGAAGGTCATATGGGTAGACAAATACATAGTTTCCTGTAAAGTTTGTGACCATCCCTTAAAATTTTTGAAATTTATATATATTGAGTCTAATTGGTGTATAATGATGTGTGCGATTGAGGTATACAGGTGAGGACTTGATATATTTGTTTATTACAACATGATGACCGTGTAGCATTGACTAACATTTCTGTTGCTGGTTCCTGATTGTGGTGGTTCCTGTCTCTGGATCTATGGGCTTCTCCTGCTTGGCACTCCCGGGGACCTCTGGTCTCCTAAGACCCTCTTGATCTGGGGTAAGGGGCAGTGAGGATGTCCCAGGGCTGGAGGGTCCTGGATCACTGAAAAGAGGAGGCTGACCTCTCCTCCCCCTACCCCCAACCCACAGATTTCCTCATCTGCCATGACACCTTCCGGTGGGTGGGGATGTGTGTGGGCAAACTGGCAGACTGGGAACCATGGAGTCTGAGGAAATCTACACGAAGAAGAAGGTCAAGATGCAGGCGGCAGCCTTCAAAGACAAGAAACAGAGGGCTCCAGCCAATAAGGAAGGTTAGGCACCTCGGGGTGGGGAGGGGAGAGGTCAGGTGGGAGAGATGGGGATGGGAGAGACAAGGGGCTAGAAGTGGGGTCACAGCGCTCCTTCCCCACCCCAAAATGTATGTGTGCATGTGTATCCCCCAAACGCTCATGCACGCCCTCTCCACCTAACCAAGAAACAGATCATGTTTTCCCCATTCCTTATCTTTTATCCTCGGAAATTTGTCGTGTGCAGGGGTCTGGTGAGCCAAGAACTCTGAGTCCCCTTCCCACCCCCACCCCTGCCCCAGAGGTCCCGGCAGGTTTCCCCTCTCATTGACCCACCCACAGGTGCAGATAACCCTGACTATGAGAATATCACCTTGACCTTCAGAAACCAGGACCAGCTGAAGGGCAGGCATTCACCATCCAAGGATCAGCACAAGCAACCACCTGCCAACACACATGGCGCAGCCTTGGGAGGGGCCCATGGTAGGGCATCACGGGAACAAGAGCACCAGGTGGAGGTCGGGGTCAGACGTGGGGGGCGTGGTGACATCAAGGTTTGTGTGTTAAAGGTCGGGGGCGGCGGCTTAGCTTCCCAGGTGGGGACGATGATGTTGGTGGTGTTGGTGTTGGTGGGAGTGTTGGTGAAGGTTTGGATGATGGTGATGGATTTGGATTTGGTGATGGCAGAGGGGTGGGCCTGGACAGAGCCTATGACCTTGCTGATGAGACCCGGTGCTGGGGACAGTGCTGACAACGGTATAGGCACTGATGTTGACGGGTGTGGTTGACAGCTACTGCTGACATCATGAGTGCTGGTAAAGGGGACGGTAAGGGGGCCATGATGATGGCAGCATTAGGACCGCTGGGGCTCTGGTCAGTATGCATGTTGGTGGTCACGGTGGCTAAGGTATTGGGAAGAGCAGGTGCAGGTGGTGTTAGAGTCAGTGCTGACGGGCTGGGTGGTGGTGTTGGGCCCTGGAGGTCACCTGTCCTGCCTCTACTCCAGTCCCCACCCTGTCTAGGCAGCCCTCAGACTCCGCCCAAGTCCCTCATTGTCTGCGCAGAGCCCTTATGAGCCTGCACACCATTCTCATCCTGTCCTGTGTCATTCTCTTGGCAGTAGTCCTGGCAAAGAGTGAGTAGGGTTTTTGGTTTCAGGGTGTTTGTTGTTGTTTTTGTGATTTTGTTTTTGTTTTGTTTTGGTGGGGGGCTGCAGCAGTGTGGAGGGGGCCCAGTCCTCAGGAAGTGGGGAGGCCCAGTGTTTCCACCCTATCTGCCTTCTCCCTCGTTCCTCTGCCTTCCCCCACCCTTGTTCCCAGGACTGCAGGACTGGGGGCGCCTCAAGGCTTCTCCTGCCTCCCCCGCCCCTCCCCCTGAACAGATTCTGAGATGTCCCAGGAGTTGCTGGTCTTGAAGAGGGAGCTCTGGAATGGTGAGGGTGGCACCCAGCGGGGAGGCCCCAGGGGTCCGGGTGGGGGTGGGGGGAGCAGCGGTGATAAGGACACGCCCACTTTGGTCCTCAGTCTCCACCTTGGTGCGCGAGTGTCAAGAGGAGCAGAATCAGGGCTGGAGCTCGGTCCAGCAGCTCGTCATGGAGGCCAAGCAGGACGTTAATGTGGTCAAGAGAGATGTCCAGGCCGAGAGTGATAAAGTGAAGACGCTATCAGCAGGTGTCCTGGCAGACCTTCACTGGGCGGAATTTGTCTCATGCTGGGTGCTGGGGAACTGGGGGCGGGGGCAGCAGGGGTCCCACCCTCCCAGGGCACAGGGTTTTAAAGGCACGATGGATGTCACCCCCTGAGTCACTCAGCAGATATTTAAATGCTGCTGGGAACACCAAGTACACAGGCCCCGCGGCACCCCAGACTGGGGGTCGGGCAGGGAGGAGACTTCCAATAAAGGTGGGGGCCTTGTGGGGGACCCCACACCAGCTTTCTCCTGTCCTCTTGCCCCCAGACATAAACCAAATCAAGCATAAGTTACAGGAAATCTCCAATGCACTGAAGAAGAGCCCAAGCTCATGTAAGTTGGGGCTGGGGAGGTGGGTGAGGAGGGAGCCACGGACTTGGTCCCAGTTTCCCTCCTAGGGGAGTGATCTGCCTGACCTTGGGTCTCCATCCCACACAGAGACCTCAACAGATGGGGAGACCTCGAAGACCTGGCTGCACCTCCCAGTGAAGCCGGCCACGTGTGTGTATCATGGTGTGTTGTGAGCATAATGCATGACACAGTGGGTGGCTGTGTCAGCAAGGACCCCCAAAAGTGTGTCACTGTGAATGCGGGTGTTGGCAACATGGGGAGCACGGTGACCACGTGTGAGTGTCCTGTGGTATGTTGCATAAATGTGTCCTGGTGGAGCTGTGTGGGGGGCACCCTTTGTACCACTATAATTGTGGTGTCACTGCGTGTGCCGTCATTGCTTGTGTTGGTGTGAATAGGCGTGTGCCAATATGTGTGACTGATCATGTCATCGAGGGTGTTCAGAGCCTGTACACATGTATGCCCCTTTGTTTCTGCGCTCACGGTTTGTGATTTGTGAGGATAAAGGCCGATGCAAAAGAATGTGGCTTTCGGATCTCATATTCCGAGCATCTGGGGCTTTGGGGGCCTGGTGGGGGAGGGTCTGGCAAATGTTGGGGGGTGGTGAAAGGCACACAGTGAGCATGCGGACGTGATCCCAGGAGCCCTGGGGCACGAGATTGTGCGGCAATGAATGCCCTGAGTGCATCTGTCTGTGTCCATGAACATGTACCCAGGGGGTAACCTAGTCTCCCTCCGGGAGGCTGTGTGTCTGAGATAGACAGTGTCTCCCTAAGTGTAGGTGGGCCCACAGGTATATCCGAGCCCTTAAGCAGGTATCCTCGGGTGGAACTACGTTTCCACCGAGCGTGCAGCCCTGAGTGCAGACGTCCCTAAGTGCACAATGCCCCCGGCTCCTGGATGTATGTCCCTTAAGAGAACATGTACCCGAGTAAATGCACGGATTGCGTGTCCAAGGCGTAGTGGAGCCTCTAGGACAAATAGACATATGTGCCCTGAGACAGACATATGTGCCCTGAGACAGACATCCCCGCTCCTGTTTGTCTAAGAGTTGGCCAACCCAAGCCAGCCCCGCCCCTGACCTCCGGGCCAACACCTCTCGGCGGACGCCCAGGAGTCCCAGGCGGACGCCCCGGACACGCGCGCCCCCTGGCGGCCGCTCTCTGGAATCTCCGCCAGCGCGCGCGCCCCGCCCACGAGCCCGTCCCGGTCGCAGCGCCTGCGCACTCAAGGCCTTTTACGGCGCCGTAAAGCAACTCGGCCAAACCGACGGCCGCAGTTCGCTGGTGAGACCCCCGCCCGCGACCCCTACCTGCGCTGGGCCTCGCCGGCTCCGGGACCCCCAGCCTCACGCGCGCCTGGGGATCCTGGGCGACGTTCCCGGCGTCCGCGATCCCCGGTCCGTCCGCTTCGGCCCACGCAAAGGGTCCGTGAGGAGGGTGGGTCCCTGTGGGTCCCTCCCCGGCCCCTCTGCCGGGTCCACGTTGGCGCGGGGGTCTCGGGGCTCCGACCTTTCCGCGGTTTAGCTTACCGGCTCCCATCGTGGCCTGGTGAGGGGGGCGGGTGCCAACACTCCCCTCCCATCTCGCGCGCTGGGCCCTCCCGGTGTAGAGGGATGCGCACCTGGGGACGTCTTGGAGCCCTGGAGTCCCCCCCCGCTCTTGTCTTCCCATTCCCCGCGCGGACCTCGTTGAGGACAATCCCAGCATCCCCAGACCCCTCCGGCCTCCGGCCCCCTCCTGCGCAGTGGGAACCGGGTTCTCAGCTCCTCCCGACCCCACCCTGGGCAGCGGCTTTAACGCAAGAGTGGGCGAGGGTCGGGGGGCGGGAGAGGGTGTCTCAGCGCCCTTGGAATCCTCCCATCCGCTCCTACTCCTACACCCTCACCGCAGGTCAGCGTCGTGGAAGTCTCGGTGCCCCCTCCGGGTTTTCTCCAGTAGCCCCTTCCGGGTCTCCTCCGCGGACCCCTGGCTTGGTGCACTAGGATGGGAGGACCACTGCGCCCCCTCCTGGCTCCCCCGGAGCCCGGGTCTCCCTCCACCTTGTCTCCCACTGTCCGGCTGCCGATCTGGAGGGCACGGAGGTGGAGGGGTTCCCAACGCCTTCTCTGCGGCCGCCTCCAGTCTTCCTTACAAACGAAGGCCCACCCGCATCTTCAAGGAGGCGTGCTTCGTGCATGCCAGACGACCGCTGTCAGAGCCCTTTCCTCCTGGCTTGTCCCGTGTACTCCTCTGTCAGTCCCTGAAACCCCAAACCCTCTTGGCTGTTGGTCTTGACACACCCTACCCCCTCTCTGGTTTCTTTGGCCTTCCGCAGGGGAGAGGCGGGCAAGTTCTCTTCATCTGCAGGAAGTTAGCCCTGTGGCTGCTGGAGGCTTGTGGGGGACAGTGCCCAAGACTTCTGACGGCTCCCCCATCCTTGTCCTCTCCTTGCCCTAGGTCTGACGCCCCCTCCCCCATGCACTAGGTCTCTAGCTGCTCCCACAGGTGGCAGAGGGGGACAGGAAGGTGCTTTTCATGTAGGAGCAATCACCTGGAACTCGAAGGTGGGGATGGTTTCCGGTCACCCCTGTGGTCTCCCACTTGTGTCCTCCCACCACCAAACCCTTTCTTTGCCAAAGGTGTAAACCTGCTACTTTCCCCATTTTCCGTCACTGGGGGAGGCGTGCTTTATGTGCAGGTGGGTGCCCCCTTTCCTTCCTCTCTTTTCCTACACGGGACGTCGGCACTGGAGCACACAAAAAGGGTGCTCCCTCCCTCCCCCGACCCGTGTTTCCTTGTGTCCCAGCAGGGCGGCGGCGGCAGCATGGAGGCACGCTTCACGCGCGGGAAGTCGGCGCTGCTAGAGCGCGCCCTGGTGCGGCCCCGCACCGAGGTGAGCCTGAGCGCCTTCGCGCTGCTCTTCTCTGAGCTGGTGCAGCACTGCCAGAGCCGGGTCTTCTCCGTGGCCGAGCTGCAGGCGCGCCTGGCTGCCCTGGGCCGCCAGGTGGGCGCCCGCGTTCTGGATGCGCTTGTGGCTCGCGAGAAGGGTGCCCGGCGCGAGACCAAGGTGCTGGGCGCTCTGCTGTTCGTCAAGGGTGCGGTGTGGAAGGCGCTGTTCGGCAAGGAGGCCGACAAGCTGGAGCAGGCCAATGACGACGCCCGCACCTTCTACATCATCGAGCGGGAGCCGCTCGTCAACACCTACATCTCAGTGCCCAAGGAGAACAGCACGCTCAACTGTGCCAGCTTCACGGCGGGCATCGTGGAGGCGGTGCTCACGCACAGTGGCTTTCCCGCCAAGGTCACGGCACACTGGCACAAGGGCACCACGCTCATGATCAAGTTTGAGGAGGCGGTCATAGCCCGAGACCGGGCCCTGGAGGGCCGCTGACCCCACGGGAGATAAAGAATGCAGAGCCTCCTTCCTAAACGTGTCTTGTGTCTTGTGTGGGGGCCTCACACGTCCACCCGACACCTTGACACCGGTGCCTGCCTCGGGCTGGGGAGGGAGGCCAAGACCTGCACATTTATGGTACAGTGGAGGGGTGGAGGTGGGCCAGGTCCCACCCAGCCGGGCCTGGGGGAGGCCCGGGGTTAGCGTAGACGTGAGTCTGCAGGAGTTCCCCCGTGACTGGAGATGGGAGAACGCTGCTACTCTCTGTCCAGCTACCCTGTGGTGTAGACAGCAGTAGGTCAAGGATGGGGTACAGCTGTGTGCCTAGGAAGCACGCAGAGGGAGTAGGCAGAGAGGTGGCTGACAGTGGCTTTATATCGTTGCTCAAAGTGCGGTCTGCGGTGCGCAGCAGTGGGGTCTCCTGGGGGTTGGTCAGCACGCAGACCCTCAGTCTGCCACTGCGAGTCTGTGTCTTAGCAAGTTCCCCGGGGGATATCTGTACCTTAATTTTGAGAAGCAGTGCGCTAGCACACAGAGTGTGGTGCATTGGGGGTGCCCAGATCCCACCCGTGGAGTTTCAAAATTCTGCAGAGCTGGGCTGGCTGAGGATTTGCATTTCTTTTTCTTTTCTTTCTTAGAAGATTTTATTTATTTATTTGTCAGAGAGAGAGCACGCATGCATGAGCACACACAAGCAGGCAGAGGCCAAGAGGGAAGCAGGCTCCCTGCGGAGCAAGGAGCCCAATGGGGGACTCGATCCCAGGACCCTGGGATCATGGCCTGAGCTGAAGGCAGCAGCTTAACCAACTGAGCCACCCAAGCGTCCTAGGATTTGCGTTTCTAACAAGTCCCCAAGAACTGCTGATGCTCCAAGGGCCGCACTTGGAGAACTCTAGAGACCTGGGGAAGTGGGTGGGCTCACTTCGGAATCATCTCGGTGCCTACGATAGTTTGAAGTTAATATCGATGATCTATGAACACATTTATGTTCCTTGTTCATTTTTTTTTTTTTTAAGATTTTATTTGAGAGAGGGAGAAGCAGACTCCCCACTGAGCAGGGAGCCTGATGTAGGTCTCCGTCTCAGGACCCAGAGATCATGACCTGAGCCGAAGGCAGTCACTTAACCAACCAAGTCACCCAGGCGCCCTTATTTTATTTTTATTTTAAAGATTTTGTTTATTTGACAGAGAGTGGGAGAATGCGTAAGCGGGGGGGGGGGGGGGGGGGGGGGGGGGGGTGGCCGACAGGGAGAGGGAGAGGTGGAGGGGGCTGGCCGACAGGGAGAGGGAGAGGCAGGCTTCTTGCTGAGCAGGGAGCCTGATGCGGGACTCGATACCGGGGTCCTGGGATAATGACCTGAACCGAAAACAGAGGCTTAAATGACTGAGCCACCCAGGTGTCCCTTTATTTTATTTTTAAAAATTTTATTTTTAAGTCATCACTCAACAGGAGGCTCAAACTGAACAACTCTGGTCAAGATCAAGAGTCAGGGTGCGCCTGGGTGGCTCAGTGGGTTAAAAAGCCTCTGCCTTCGGCTCAGGTCATGATCCTAGGGTCCTGGGATCAAGCCCCACATCGGGTTCCCTGCTCAGCAGGGAGCCTGCTTCCCTCTCTCTCTCTGCCTGCCTCTCTGCCTACTTGTGATCTCTGTCAAATAAATAAATAAAATCTTTGAAAAAAAAAAATCAAGAGTCAGTGTGCTCTACCGACCCAGCCGGCCAGGCGTTCTCATGCGTTTCTTTTTCAAGGTTTTTTTTTTTTTTTTAAAGATTTTATTTGGGGCGCCTGGGTGGCTCAGTGGGTTAAAGCCTCTGCCTTCAGCTCAGGTCATGATCCCAGGGTCCTGGGATGGAGCCCTGCATGGGGCTCTGCTCAGCGGGGAATCTGCTTCCTCCTCTCTCTCTGCCTACTTGTCGTCTCTATCAAATAAATAAATAAAATCTTAAAAAAAAAAGATTTATTTGTCACAGAAAGGGAGAGAGCACAAGCAGGCAGAGTGGCAGGCAGAGGCAGAGGGAGAAGCAGACTCCCAGCCGAGCAGGGAGCATGATGCGGGGCTCGATCCCAGGACCCTCTTGTGTGTTCTTGTTTAAAAAGTAAAATCTGACACTTAAGGCAGCCGCTCCTTTCCCTTTGGCCCACCACCCTCCCTGAGTTCCTGATCACTTCTCCTCCCCAAGGTTAATCCTGCCAGATCTTTTTTTGCGGGGGCGAGGGGGGGTTGTCTTCAAATTTCCCTTCCTTCCTTCCCCTCCTCGCAGACTTGAACAAGTCTGTCATGAAAGAGAACTTCGGGGCTGTCGGCTGGGTCCCCTCATTGAGGGTTTAGGGGTGGGGTGGATGCAGCTCTCAGTTGCTTTTGGGGGTGCACTGTGGAGGTCGGCATGAGGTGGGGAGAGCCCGGGTGCCAAGTCTGACCAGGGGACGGGTCCAGTTCCTCCAGCGAGGGGTGGGGTAGGCCTCCGCCCCCAGCAAAGGACCGGGGCATTCACAGCCTGGATGGAACTACACATGGTAGGTACCATGTGTAGCCCTGGTGACGGTCATGGGCAGGAAATAGCTGTTGGCTGGGCGAGGGGAGGGGCCCCTGAGGGAGCTGGTGGAGGGGGTGATCAGGGCGCCAGTCTGAATTTGGGGAGGGGGCAGTTTCTAGGAGGCCGACCAGGATCCAAGATGGGGAGTCCAGGAGGGCGGTCTAAGCCTCCATGCAGGGAGGGAAGTCGCAGGGAAGCCCATAGGATTGGAGGAGTGAGCTGGGGTGCGCTGGGAAGCCAGGGGGAACTGCAGAGTCCTTGGGTTTAGTAGCCTGAGGTGTCCCCCAGAGCCCCTGGAGAGTGGCTTCTAGGGCCTGCTGGGCTAGGGGCAGATCGCAGAAACAAAGGACAGGAGGCAGGAACCGGCCAGCCGGCTCCACCCAGAGACCCAACAGTGAAGGATGCCAGAGAGAAAGAGAGAGGGTGGGAGGAGAAGAGAGGGGCTGTTCTCTAGGGAGGGAAGCTGGAGAGCTGGTAGGCTGGGAGGGGGCCCAGGGTCTTTCTCCCTGCTGAGGGTGAGTACGGACTTGGGGGCAAGGGAGATGTGGAATGATCTGTAGGAGTGGGGGTGGGGCACCCATAAGAACAGATCTGGCAAGTTTCCCATTACAGCAGCTCCGAACAGGATGCTCTGCTCGAGGCTGCAAATACAGTGTCTACTGAAGCCGAGAGAGGGTGGGTAGGGAGGGGCGAGGAAGAGGAGCCCAGCGGCAGCCCTTGGTGAACCAGGCAGGCGTGGTACCTCCCCTCATTTAATAGACCATGAAGTAGGTACTGAGAGGAGATCATCTGCCCATGGACCCACATTTACCTTTTTGACAGATATTTATTGAACACTTACTATGGGTCCGGTGCTGGGGTCACAACTGAGAACAAAACAAAAGCTCCTGCTCTCCTGAAGGTCACAGTCAAGCCTGGGGTGGGAGGCCGGCGGGGTTGGGGGGAGTAAGAACACACCTATCAGTGAATGACACATTTTCTTGGAAGGGGAGGAGTGTAGTAAGAAAGTAGGGTGAGATACAAGCGATCTGGAGTCAGGGGTGTCATTTTAAATGGGAGGGAGGGGGGAATGCAAGATAGCCCCCACTGAGGAGTAAGTGGAGCAGGAGACATGTGCAAAGGCCCTGAGGCAGGAGCGAACCTCCATGTGTAAGTGCCAGTGAGGAGGCTGGTGCAGGTGCTGGGGTTGGGGAAGGCGAGAGCGGAGGAGAAGCTGGGGAGACCAGGCAAGTTGCAGGGATTCTGCAATTGCAAAGCACCCTGTAAGACTTTGATTTTTTTTTTTTTCTTTTCTTTTTTCCCCCCTCAGATCCAGAAGGAAACTTCTGGAAGGTGTGAGGCAGTGAAGAAGGAGATTGAGGCAAGCTAGGATGGGGGCCCACCAAAGCGGTTGCTGGAGGTGGTGGGAAGTGGGCAGATTCTGCACATGGCTTTCCCTGAGGATTCGGAGGGAGCAGTGAGGGTGACAGGTGCCGAGTGTGACCCCGTCGTTGGCCTGAGTGGCAGAGGGGCCGGGAGTCCCCTTTGGAGAGATCAGGTAGGCAGTTATACACTGGCCTGGAGTTCCAAGGGGGCGTCTGGAGGAGGCAGAAATCGGGTGAGCAGTGGGTAGACAACAGGTAACCTCGGCCTAGCTCTACCCCTGCCCCTTCCTGGCCCCAGGACCCCCCAGGGGCCACCCTAGCGCCCTCCCCAGCCCCTTCGGCCTGGCCCTTGACTCCCAGGTCCCAGGTGGTCCAGCGCGGGCCTCTCCTCATGGATTCCCCTCTAGGGGGCCCGAGAATCCCAGGAGCAGTCTGGTTCTTCCTGTTCTAGGCCAGGAGTTGGGGGTCGGGTGAGCGGGCGAGGAGTGTAACACAGGGTGTCCCGGGGTCCTGGCCTGCCTCCCTCCTCAGCCTCGGGTGCAGGGACTGACCTGGCCAGACCTGGGGCTGATGCCATGTACGCCTCCCAAAACCCGCGTCAGGGTGGGGCCAGCACCTTTGGACCGGGTGACCAGGCCACCTGTGGGCCTGTCCGCATCTCCCGAGTGCCTTCTGCACACCAGGCCCATCCTGCGTCTCGTGTGTGCGCTCCTGCCCTCCTGCCTGCAGGCCGGGCTGGCGGTTAAGCTCAGGCTATCCCCTGCCCCGCCCTACAATATTCTAGGGGTGTTCTCTGCTGCTTTGGACACGGGAATCTTCATCTCCAGCCCTGTCTAGTAAATGCTTCTTGTAATGAAGTAGGAGTGGGGGTGCGGGGGGCGGGGAAGTGGGGAGGTGCAAATGCCATTTTAGTTGCTCTGGACACCCCGAGGTGGCCTCAGGCCGCTGGTTCTGGAACTCCCAGCTCCCACATTGGGAGACCGGAGCCAGCAAGGCCCCTGGGAAGGGGCTGTCCTCACCCCGTTTTACTGACGTGGGCTGGGTGGGGAGCCTGGCTGCCTGAGCCAGGGGTCTTCTCCCTGGGGGGTTAGGACACGGGGGCTACATCTGGGGTGGCCAGGGGTGGGCTGGGGACATGGTCTACTCCTGACTCCAGCAGACGGTCGGGGGGCCCGACAGGGGAAGCACACAGGGGCCCGAGGCATCCGCCTCGGCTCCCCGGAAAGTTCTGAGGCGAGTACTCTGAGCGCTTGAAGACAGGGTGACGGCCAGCTGAGGAGCAAGGGACAGGCCCTCTGGGGAGTTGGCAGGAGCCGGGGATGGGTCAACAGGCCTTCTTCTGTTTGGGCAGGAGAAAATGGGGCCGGGACCTTAGCCACAAATAGTTGAGGGTCCTCAGAGCCTCTCTGTGGGCCTGGCTGTTCCTGTGTCTGAGGTGGGGGAGCGACGCAGGGGGGGCACCAGACAGGTGGGCCGGGGACTGTCAGGGTCTGGGTCTCGGAGCACGTCCCGGTGAACCCCAGGGGGGCCGCGGGGGTGGGTGGGCAGTCAGCACGTGGCCAGCCGGTCGCACACCCAGCCGTCCAGCCGGCTGCCGCAGAAGGCATCGTTCCACTGCCCGGAGCCCTGCATCATCACACAGTCCTCGCCCTGGCCCCCGTTGTTGGGTTCCCCTGGCCGCCAGTTGCTGCAGCGGAAGACTTAGGGTCAGAGGGTGGAGGTGGGGAAGGAGCCCTAGTGCCTTCAGTCTAGACTCATCCCTCCGAGTCTGGGCCCGCCCCCCCCCATCCCTGCAGCCCAGCAATACCCTCCCCCCACAGGCCCTCACCTCCACCTGGGCCTGCCTGCCCCCCAAGCCGGCCGTTGCTGAGAAGCACCCCCTCCCTGAGGCCCCCCTTACGTTCTCCCTCCTCACCTATAGTTCAGGGGTTCCTTGTCCATCCATATAAACTCCCCCTCTCTGTCCAGGTCCCGAAGGCCAATCCAGGTGCCCTTCCTGTTGGCGTGTCTGGCCAGGAAGTCCTGGGGAGCAGGACAGGCCTGGAAGTGCCGGGGAGTTGTGCCCGGGTCCCTCCCACCATGCAAGAGGCGGAGGTGGGGGTCCACAGCCCCCGCCCATGAGCTCGGGCTCACCTGCTCCTCTTGGCTGTGGATGCTGACCAGCTGCCCTTGCAGTTTGCTGCACGCGAACCGGGCCTGGATCCACCTCTTGGGGTCCTCACCGAAGTAGTAGCACTTCCTCTGGAAGCTGACCCACTTCTCGGGACACGTGTTACAGGTGGAGCCTGGGGTGGAGGAGAGGCTCAGGGGGGCAGCTGTGGTGGGCACCGTGGCGGATGCTGTGGCGGGCGCCATGACGGGCACCGTGGCGGATGCCGTGGTGGTCGCCATGACGGGCACTGTGGTGGATGCCGTGGCTGGCACCGTGGTGGGTGCCGTGGCTGGCACCGTGGTGGGCGTCGTGGCTGGCACCGTGGTGGGCATCGTGGCTGGCACCGTGGTGGGCGCCATGGCTGGCACCGTGGTGGGTGCTGTGGCTGGCACCGTGGTGGGCGTCATGGCTGGCACTGTGGTGAGTGTTGTGGCTGGCGCCATGGCCGGCACGGTGGGTATGATAGGCAGAGTGGGTGGCAGCGTCTCTCCTGGAGTCACCCCTGGGGTCCGGGCTGAAAGCAGACCCACCCCAGAGCCTAACAAAGGCTTGCAGGCTGCCTTCTCCGGGGCTCTGCCGCCGACGGGCCAGACCAGCTCCCTGGCAGGAGCACCTCAACAGCCTGCAGCAATGCCACAAAGAACCCCCTCCAGACCCCCACCGGAGCAGCATGCCCGCCACGGACACCAACATCAAGGGGGTCCTGGCCAGCAATACCTCAGCCTCTGCCAGCGCCATCCCCACAAAGTGACCCACAGCCAGCCACGTATCCATCACCATCAGCATCCCCATGTCACCAGCTCTGTGGCCAGTGGCCCCTCAGCCACCAAGCATCACCACAAACCCCTTCACAGTCAGAAGCACCTCCACTGCCAACACCATGGCAGTGATCACCAACCCTGCCTGCGACACCTGTGTTACCACCATCATCACCAGAGGGGCCCAGGATGGCCAGCAACCTCTCTCTGCTGCGACCACCGCGGCCAACACCAATGCCGATGTGGTGAGGCCAAGATTGCCAGCATCACTGGCCCTGTGACTTGTCCCCATTAATGGCTCCAATAACAGTCCTGGTCACCCTTGCTACCAGCACCCCCAAAATCAGATTCTTGCCATGTTTGGGGAAATGGAGATGATTTTTGTCTAGTTGGAGGCACCATGGAGAGCTTATGGAGGGGGCTCCTGAAGGGCTGGGTCTGCCTGGTCTCGACCTTGGGCCACCTTGGTCTCTGTCTCCTCTTGTCCCCACTCTGAGGAAACTCTTAGACACTGTCACCACCACCCAGCCCTCCCAGGTGCGAGGTTAAACCCACTGTTACTGGGTTGACTCGCTCTTGATTTAAAATAGATTTTCTTGGGCGCCTGGGTGGTTCAGTTGGTTAAGCGACTACCTTCGGCTCAGGTCATGACCTTGGAGTCCCGGGATCGAGTCCCATATCGGGCTCCCAGCTCCACAGGGAGTCTGCTTCTCCCTCTGACCCTCCCCCTTCTCATGCTCTCTCTCATTCTCTCTCTATCCAATAAATAAATAAATAATTTAAAAAAAATAAAATAAAATAGATTTTCTTGGAATGATGGGCAGAGAGGGCCCATAGCTTTGGTGGAAGTTTTTAAGCGGCTGGGGGTCCACAACCTCAACGAGGAACAAAGCTGGATGTGTTTCCGACCAGGAACCAGTGACCCGTATGTGGCCCTTGGTGCGGGGGGTGGGGCACCTTAAAACAGGAAGAGAGTATCTCTGGGCACTTGAAGAAAATTTTGATGGGGGGCGCCTGGGTGGCTCAGTCAATTGGGCGTCCGACTCTTGATTTCTGCTGGGTGTCATGATTGCGGGGTCGTGAGATTGAGCCCCGCATCAGGCTCTGTGCTCAGCGAGGAGTCTGCTTGTCCCTCTCACTCTGCTCCTCTCCCCTGCTCATGCTCTCTCTCTCTCAAATAAAGAAAGAAATAGAATTTGGGGCCGGCAGGCAGAAAACTTCGAGGAAAGTGCCCTGGCTGCGTGTTGCATAGTCGTCCAGAGACAGCCCTGGAGCTGGGCTCAGACCCCAGGCCTCCCCAGGGACCAGGGAGGAATTGGAAGATCTTCCGTCAGAGAGAACGTGGTCCAGAGCCCTCCCCAGAGGGACCACAGGCGGCTTTCTTGTTGGGATTCCCACAGCCACACAGTGTCCCAGGGGACTGAACTCCTTCATACCAAGCACAGAGCCTTCCTCTTTTCTTTGCCACTTGGGGCAGCTGGGGCTTCCCAGAGGTGGAAAACCAAAACTCAAGGGAGGGGGTGAGGGTGGGGAGGACATCAGGGCAGGAACACCCGGGTTCAAGGCGCACTGATGGACTGTCTGTTCTTCCTGCAGCCTCTTGGGACGGCCCCCCAACTCATGACCACCAGCATCGCCCCCATCGCTGCAAAGGTGAGCCCCCCCTTGGCCCCACCCCTGGCTGGGTCAGACAGTCTTTGGGGAGGGGCTGTGGCTGAGGGCATCGTGCTGCTGACTCTCTGCGGAGCCACAACAGGCAGAGGAGAGAGAGGCCAAGAGAACCCAGAGATGGTCAAACAATGCTTTTACCTGGAGGAAAAAAGTGTTCGAGCGCCCCCCGCCCCTGCGCCTGCTCCAGGTCCGAGGAGGGAAGCAGCTGGACTCAGAAACTCACTCTCGTGTGTCCCCCAAGGACCCTGCCACACACATGAGCGCACACCCGGCCACGTTGTCACGTGCACACGTCTATCACACGTCACCTCACCCGTGCGGTCCCATGCACGCACTGACACACCAACTCACCGTTGGACACATGTAGCTCTATCCACAGCTTCAGCACCTCCTGCTGGAGTCTTTCCAAGGAACGTAGGGCTGTGTGTCTCTCGTTCAAGCCTTGGGAGATTGGATGGGGGACAGTGGTCAGAGACGAACTGGCAACGCCCCCCTCCGTCCCCCCCACCCCCCAGCCCCTCCCAAGGCTCACTCAAGGACTTGAGGTTGCTCAGGTCCAAACGAAGTCCGTCCAGGTTCCGGGAGAGCTCAGAGTCTGATGGGGGTGGGCTGGTGTCAGGGTTGGGAGTCCCAGAGCCCCCAGCCTCATGGTGCCTCCCAGCTTTAGCACTCCCCACAGCCCCCACCCCTCCAGCCCCCCCAATTTCTCACCCTGAGCTTTCATTCTCTTCTGTTCAGCTCGGATTTCCTCCATGTTCTGTGATACCTGGGCAGCTGGTGGCAGGGGAGGGGGCTCAGTGGTAAGCAAGTCCTCCGGGTCCTCCCCAGTCTCCCAGCCCTCCCTGTCCCCCAGCCCCCGTGTCTTCAGGGTCACCTACTCATTTTGGAGTTCACAGGTGGTCTACACGGTGCCCGCAAGTTAATCCAGGTTTCCCCTCCCCCCAGCCCTCCCCTCCTCCTAGACCCAAGCTGCCAGCTCTCACCCTGGGATTTCTGGGCCATCTGGTCACCGTTGTGTCTTTCCAAGTCCTTGGAAACCCGAGAGACTGGGGCAGCAGGAGAGAAGATGTGCCCTCAGGAGCCAGGAAGCCGATTCCCGAATTGCTCCCTGGCCCCGACCCCAAGTGCAGGGCCCCCTCATATGGTCACAAGACCTGAAGATTTTTGTTTTTCATTTTTGGGGCAAAAGTGCTCAGGAAAACGCAGCCAAGAATAGAATGAACACGTGTACCTCCCCCCCCACCCCTGCCCAGAATGAAACATAAAAGCAGCAAGTATTTCTCGAAAGTTCACTGGACATGGTCTCAGTGCTTCGAAGGTCTTAGCTTGTTTCTGCCTCGAGAGCCCTGAAGTGATGCCCATTTTACAGGTGAGGAAACCGAGGCCTGGAGCAATTCCGGAGCACTTCTCCGTCAGGCACTTCTCAGAGCCCACTTCCCTCCAAGAGTCTCCGGGTTTTCATCCCCAGGGGAGTGGGAAATGCAGGCTGACCCTCAGTTCCCGGGGTGGGGGGTCGCTGGAGCCCAGTCCTTCTCCCACTGCCCACCGTGGTCAGTGGCAGAAGCAGGACAAGAGACCCCCTCCCCGCCTTGACCCCTCCATACCATTCCGAGCAGCGGTTACTTCTAGCTGTCTCAGATTCTGCACAGTGTCCCAGTCTGGGGAGGAGAGAAGAGAAGGGGAGGAGACGGGTTTCTAGATGCCCACAGCCATGCACACCCCACCTGTCAGCTGGGGATGGAGGCCTTGGGCATATCGTGTGGCAGGTGTGGAAAGGGCAGGAGACAGGGGTGCTGGACGGGGCGGGGAGCTCTCCAGGGTGGACAGAAGGGGCTTGGGAGGAGGCTGGTGGGGACAACACAGGAGACACGATGGGAAAATTGGACTCCAAGGGCTGGGCTCCCTGGGGTCGGAAAGTGGGCTTCTGGGAGGGAACACAAGAGGGAGACCTCATGGGGCTGGGGGTGTCCTCACGCCAGAAGAGAAGCAGGGCCAGCAGCCCGGCCCACAGCAGGACGGTCGCCAGCCCCAACAGCGCCAGCTGCACTCTCTGCCCACAGCATCGCCGCCTTCTGGAAAACTTTGGGAACTCTGCTGGGTCTGGGGAGAGCGCCAGGGGGAGAGGGTTGAGCCTGGGCTTGGCCGTGCCTGTCTCCCCATCACCCAGAGCCCCTAAGTCCTGGGAGCCTGTCTAGAGCCCACACGAAGGCAGTGGATCTCAGAGGACGCCCCAGCCTCCTCTGCGCGCCTTGCCTGCTGTCTGTCGTGCCCACCAGTGAGCACCCCACCGCCCGACTTTGTCCCTCTCTGCATCCGTGTGTCTCCAACTCTGTCCCTCCAGCCATCCAGCCTCATGTCTGCCACTCCTTCTGCCTACCCCCCAGTGGCCAGCAAGCCTGACTGGGGGCCAGGTCACTTCCCAGGAAGACAGGCCTAGGACCAGGAGCCGAGACCCTTCCTCCACGGACCCCTCCTCTGATGGCTGACCCCCACCCAGAGCTCGCCTGTGGTCCTCTTCCCTTTTGTGGGTTCAGTTACCCCCTCACGCCCATGCCAGATCTCCAGCCTCATGCCCAGAAATCTGGGCCCTCCTTCCCCTTGGACAGCCAGCCCTCACCCTGGTCCTGGCCCAAACGCAGGGCACCAGGGTTCAGTTCTTCCTCAATACCCAAGCTCTTTCCCAGCCTTTTCCCTGGATGTCGGACCCCCCCGGGGGACTCATCCCAATCGCTGAGTCACCCAAGACCCTACCTTGTGGCCCTACTGTGGGTCCGGGCCCCCTCCCCTCACCCTGGCTGGGAGGATTCATCACGCTGAATTCCCCTTGTTCCGAGGCCCTGTTCGACTTGGCTTCCAATCCTACTGGGCTCCCGGCACCCCAGCTGGAGCGGTTTTGTTGTTGGAGGCCGTTGAGTCAGGGAAGGGAGGGGCCTGTGGCTTCCCTCTCCTGCCTGGCTCTGGGCCCAGAGGGCCAGTCGGGGCTCACCTCCCCCTGGCCCCTGGCTGGGCCTTCTTCCCAGAGAGAGACCCTGGAGCCCCTCTCCTCTCTTGGGTGAAAGGTAGGGGGTCAGCTGCTTGGTTTTGCCCATGTCAGCTCCAGAGAGTCCTCTCACCTGAGTATGAGTGCTCCTCCATGGCAGTCTTGCTTGGATTCTCCCAGTGACGGGCTGCTCACCACCGGACAAAGCAGTCAACTTAACAGGTAATAGCTCTAGCCGGGAGCTGGGTTCTAACGAGCAGGAAGGTTAGATGTCAGGCTCCAGATAGCATCTGGGACCTGAGCAGCTCAGTGACCATTGGCTGATTGTGCTCAGTCCATCGCCAGGAGTCAATGTTGCATTTAACTGCGAGATGCAGCTGGTATGGTGGGTCACAGGCCTGACACCAGAGGTAGGCACCCCAGAGTCTGGCACACGTTGGGTACACAGCAGGTGCTTGAAAAATGTGGCGAACGACTGAACCTCAAAACCGACGTCCTCATCCATAAAAAGCCAATGTTAAGGACACCTATGCCCTAGGGCTGTGAGATACTCCTCATGAATATGTAAATTGCTCTCAATAAGGCCTGACCATAGCCCCCAAAATAAAATCAGCTTGTTCCTATTGCTGCCTGTGCAACCTTGGCCTGGGACCCCACCTTTCTGAGCCTCAGTCTCCCCTCTATAAAATGGGAATGATGATCGCATCCAACTCAGGAGGTCGTGGAAGGATCAAACGAGGTAATAACGTGCGTGAGGCTTTCAGCGAGGTGCCGCTCGCACACAGTGAGTCTCCAGATCCTAAATGTTTATCAGGCATGTGCTGGGAGGCGCAGAAACTCTGCCACTAGACCTCAGCTTCCTCCTCCACCAATGTGCTCAAGGCATCTTTAGAGTCTCTTGACTTTGGGGCACCCGGGTGGGTGTCAACTCTTGGTTTTGACTCAGGTCATGATCTCAAGGTCGTGAGATCCGGCCCCTGAGGTGGGCTCTGGGCTCAGTGGGAGTCTGCTTGGGAATCTCTTCCTCGGCCCCTCCCCCAGCTTGTGAGCGCTCTCACTCTCAAATAAATAGATAAATCTTTAAAAGTTTCTCTTGACTTTAAAGACCGTGCCAGTGACTGTGGGGGTGGGGGGGGGTCAGACAAGCCTCTTGTCTGAGGTTACTGGTTACCTCGCTTGCTGTATGACTCTGGGGAAGTTGCTTCCCCTCTCTGAGACTTGGGGAAGTGGAGGCGTGTGGTGGCTGGGACCCGATTAGCTGCGGCTCCAACTGGACCGTTCACCGTCATGGAAGAGGCGGGAGGTGTGAGCATCCCACCGCCCAGCCTGCCTGAACCCACACCAGACAGACCTGGGGCTGAGTTCCGGCTTCTCTCTGAACGCACAACTTAGTTGGCTCTCTGAACGCACAACCAGGGGTGACGGGGCCAACCCCACCGGGTGAAGACCAAGGCGGTGTGCGAGGTCCTGGTGCGCAGTCGCTGCTCAGTTAACCTACTGGTGGGCTGCTGGGGAAACTAAGGCATCAAGAAAGTCACTCGTCCATGTCACGCAGTGGTGGAACCAGGACTTGAACCCAGGACGTGGGACACTGGAGCCTATTTACTCAACCACTGGTGGGGGGTGTGTGGTGTGGGGAACATGGCCTCCTGGTCTGCTGGTAACCAGGCTTGAGGCCAGGCCCTCTCTCTAACTCCAGAGCTCCCAGCCCTGCTTCTGGCCTTCCATGGCTCCCTGCGATCGGCCCCCAGCGCACCCTCCAAACTCATCGGTTCCTCGCTGTCATGCCAGGCGCTGGCTTCCCCTTCCCCAGCCCAGGACCCCGCACCTCGGGCGATCCCGCCCACACTGCCCTCTGCCCTCCCCTCAAGCCGAGCTCCTTCTGAGTATCCCTCAAGACTCAGCCCGGAGCTCGCTTCTTCCAGGGAGCCTTCCTTGTCCACTCCCCAGGGCCAGCCCCGACACACACAGGATCACCTATGTGCACACACATTCACACACTCACACACTCAATGTGTCTGACGCACTCACATGAGCTCTGAGCGTGTCGCTGTCCTGGCCCGTCGGGGCTGGCTGCAGAGGCCGGTGGGGCCGAGGGCCGTGGTGAGGAGCTTGACCTGGAGAGAGAGTTTCTTCTGAAAGCAGACCCACCCACGGCTTCTATTTTCACCGACCTAATTATGGGCTCACCACCTGGGTAACCACAGCACACGCATGGCCTCCGGGGGGCTCCTTGCAGCCTGGTGAAGTCCGGACTATGAATAGCTCCCTCCATCACTCAGGTGAGCAAACTCAGGTTCAGGGACGCTAGCCCGCATCCCCGGAGCTTGGGGGGAGGTAAATGGGAGAATCGGGACAGAACCAAAGTGACTAGAAAGATCCATGAGATCACAGAACATCTTGGCCAAATATCGATGGTTTTGTTATCAGGTTGAGTTTAGTCGTGCCCGGTGCATGTTGCCCAGTGTCCTTGGAGAGCAATTTAATGTCCACAAACACACTTCGAGGCAGATGCTTTCATTCTTCACGCTGCCTTAGGGGTGAAGGATGTGGGGCCCAGAGAGGTTAGGTAACTTGCCCAAAGTCACACAGCTTATAAACGGCAAAGCAGGGATTTGAACCCAGGTAGCGTGGGTCCCAAGTCTGCATCTCTAACCACCGTTCACCTGGCCTTGTATTTATGAGGCCTTCCTGACACCTCACACCTTGCTCATCCTCCAGAAAATGTATCCTCTGATCTTTAAACGTCTTCCCGGTCTGGTTTGGGGAACATTCTGTGCCAAGCCCCATTGGATAGGAAGATGCCTGCCCATGCCCCTGTGTCCCACTTCCCAGCTAGGGCCGGGCTGGGGAGGAGCCTGGCTGAAATGCCTCCTTCGTCTGTCACACCACGTTTCAGCACCGAAGGTCAGCCCTCGTTATGTATCTATCGACTGAATGGTTGTTGGTGGAGGCTGTTCATTCAGGGGCCCCCGAATGTCCCTCTCAACCTTGATCTGGGCTAATCGTGGGGACTCGGACCCATTGCATGATTGACCAACTGACAGAGGAGGGTCCTTTCATTTTATTTTTTATTTTTTTAAAGATTTTATTTATTTGTTTGACAGAGAGAGAGAGAGAGAAAGCACAAGCAGGAAGAGTGGCAGGCAGAGGGGGAGGGAGAAGCAGGCTTCCTGCTGAGCAGAGAGCCTGATGCGAGTCTCCATTCCAGGACCGTGGGATCATGACCCGAGCCCAAGGCAGAGGCTTAAGCGACTGAGCCACCCAGGCGCCCCAAGATGGTCATTTTAAGTAGAGAAGAGCATTGTCAGGTGGGTACCAGAGAGGTCGGTCCCTGGGGCTAGACATAAGGCAGCAGGAGGCCTGTGGTGGGGAGGGGAGCCAGGTGTTGTCATGGGGGCCAGGTGGTGGTGTGGACACTGGGGCGCTGTCGCCTTGCCCAGGTGCTGGAGGAGGTGTCTGGGGCGGCTGCTGCGGGAACAAAGAGAAGCGGGTTGGTTTGGGAAGAGACGGGCCTTGGCTAAGGGGACGGTGGGCACGGGGAGGTACTCAGAAGCTGCTGTAAAAATTGACTCGGTCTCAGTTGGAGACCCTGGGGGACAGTGGAGCTGTCCTAGTGAAGAGGACACAGAAAAGAGGAGCAGAAAGTTTGGGAACAGTCCCTGTTGGGTCGCGGTGAAGACACAGGACAGGGTGAGGAGTGAGGAATGAAGGATGGGACGGGGGTACCGTTTGGTGTTTTTGAGCGTGTGGGAGTTCTGCGGGCCCTGTGCTCAGTCCCCTGTCCACACTGCTGCCCACCATCCCCACGTGTCCTTCCATCCGGCGATGCTGGGTCCCTGCCAAGACTCAACTTGGACGAGAGGATGCTTTGGGGGTGAAATCTCCGCTCCCCTCCTCAGGGCAGGGGGAGTGGCAGCAACCCTGTCACGCGATGACCCCTCCCTCTTCCCTTCTGTGGTATCAGCCCACTGCTCTGTTCACTTTAAGGGAAAAACAGGAAACCGTGCGGATGTGGGCCCCAATCTGAGGGTGTCAGTTCTTCTTTCAGGTTTGGGATCCTTCAGCCTGGGGCAGTCCCCTCACTTGTCGCAGATCAGGATCCGTAGGAATGAACCAGGGGTTCGTAAATGATTCCCAGGCAGGTTCCCACCCCAGCCCCATCCCTGACCCTACTCGACCCCAACTCACCCCCAAGGAGGTTCTGATCCCCAGCCTTTCCCCGCTGTGCTCTGTGCGGAGAAGCTGCAACCACCCCGCTAAGCTTAGAGCCTCAGCACCTGGACAGGGCCCGGTGTCCATTGCAAATGTGATGAAGGAACATTTCCTCCTGGACCCCAACCCTGACCCTGACCCCAACCCCATCCAGGTGGCACAGCCCAGAGCTTACCCCACCCGATCAATGTCTCCTGGTGAGGCTAAAGGGAGAAAGGAAGGGGGTGTGTTGGCGGGCGGGAGGGAAGTGCAAGGAGGAACTGCAAGGAGGGCTTGCAGGAGGAGGTGTCTCTGAAATCGGGTTTCTCATTCTCAGCTCTGCTGGCATTGGGGCCGGATGGTTCCTTGTTGTGGGGGGTGGGGCTGTCCTGTCCACTGCAGGATCTTTAACAGCCTCGCTGGCCTCTACCCACGAGCTTCCACTAGCCGTCCCCCTTCCACCTAGTCATGACAGCCAACAAAGTCTCCAGACATCACCGGATGCCTCCTGGTGGGGGGCAGAATCACCCCCAGTCAAGCACCACTGCTTTGAAGCATGATTTATAGACAAAGGAGAAGGTGCTGGCTTCAAGCTTCCACCCGCTTTCTCTCTGTCTCCTATCTGTCCATCTGCTGTGGACGGATGACCTCTTTTCCTCTTTCATCCACTCAACAACCATGATTTGAGCACCTACTGGGGGCCAAGTTCTGAGAACAAGATGAAGTCCCAGTTCTTGTGAGGGAGGTTTCGTTTTTCATTGTGCTAAAATATATATCACATAACGTTTACCATTTTAATCATTTCCAGTGGCGATAAGTGGTTGGTGTTTTTGAGCGTGTGGGAGTTCTGCGGGCCCTGTGCTCAGTCCCCCGTCCACACTGCTGCCCGCCATCCCCACGTGTCCTTTGTCACATTGTGCCACCATCCCTGCCGTCCGTCTCTAGAACTTTCCAGCATCCCAAAACTGAGACCCTGTCCTCACAAAGCACGGACTCCCCACCCCTGGCTCCCACCCTCTCCTCTCTGTCTGTGTGGATGGGGATCCTCTGGGGACCTCCTGGGAGTGGGGTCCTGCGGGATGGGTCCTTCTGGGTCTGCTTATTTCACTTAGCCTGACGTCCTCAGGTTCATCTAGGACGCAGCGGAAAAACCAAGTTTGAATTTCACAAATCCATGGGATAGTTTCAGGGCGTGGAAAGCAGGGTTAGGGTACCTGGGGAAGAGCTAGTTTAGACTGGAGGGTTCTGAACCTGGGGGGACGTGAGGTTCTGTCCGAGCAGACCCCTCCAGGCAGCTGGATTTTCGTCCTCAATGTTTCAGCGGCCAGGGGTGCTCCCCTGGGGCTTTACAACCTCAAAGCCTTGAGCTGGTGCCCCACCCCCTTCCTGGCCAGGGAAAATCCACACGGTCCTCCCCTGGAGGCCCCAGGTCCCGGAGAGGACCTGCCTTTCCCAACCTTGGCCACGTGGCTGCCCCAGTCTGCTCTTTTGGGGTCTCAGTTTCCCCCTCAGGGGAGGGCACCGGACTTTAGAGCTTGGAAGCCCCGTGGTCCTGATCCGCTCCTCCCTGACAGGCACAGAAGCCCCATAGCCTCTTGTAGGACCCCAGTGCTCCAGGAAAGTGGGGGGTCGGGGGCCCAAGTGCCAGCGTCTGTGACTCAGTAGCGGGAGGTGAGGTGATATGACATCATTACCTACAGAGACCTGAAAACGCAGGGACCAGCTGTCTTAGGCGACTTAACCACAG